AACAAATTGTCTATTTGTGTGCATATTTGAATTTCAGTAAATGTAATTTGGTACATTGATCACAAATTTAATAATTGAATGTAAAGGTAATATTGCTTCACCTAGCAATGTGGTGAATTTTAATAAAAAGATATCAATAATTGCATCTTTTTTTTGTTTTCTTTCATAGTTAAGGAAGAAAATGTTGTAGGATATAACTATTTAGTTTTTTCCTCACTTAAAACAGATGGTTAATTAGAGATGTAGGATATAATCTTTCTGATGTCTATACTAATGTAGACAGGATACCTGGGTATGTAAAGACAATTTGTCTTTTCCATCTCATTTTAGCTACACAAATACTAAAGAGGGAATTTAAAACGTTTAAAATTAGATAAAGGCTGGTAGTATACAGTGGTGGAAGGAGGGGGCTGACCCCCTATGTGTTTCTGAGTATATTTATCTTTCGATATAGAAATTTTCATTTTGATGCTCTGATTGGCTGCATCACTTTTTTGTTGCCACCCCATCACCTCTTTGAAAAAAAAGGGTTTTGAGTTTTAAAAGTTTATAAATGTTTTCAGTGTTTCTTTATTTTTAGCTCTACTGGTTGAAGATCAGATGAGCTTATGCGATAGTAAGGTGTCCGTCTGTCCCTCACCCAATTAAATCCGTTGTTACAGTCCTGTACAGTGAATGGTTGTTGCTACTGTTTATCTTATCAACTAAGTGTTCTTTGATACATGATTTCACATCATTTCTATATGACACAAGTGAAATACAACAAGCAGTTTTTACAAATTATTTTTGAATTTTTGTGTAATGATTTTCAAAAATGAAGACATGTGGTAAAATTATTTGCACAATTCATGTTTGGTGTATTTTTGACACACTGTGAAGTAAGTATTTAGATAAGCATTATAGGAAGCTTTAATTATCTTCAGATTGTTAATATTTAACCATGCAATTTATTGTCATATGTTCTTAAGTCAGTTTATTTCTGCAAGTTTTTGATTCATCACTCGGAACAAAAGTAATGAAATCTTTGTATATTTTCGAGTGCTGTCAGATGCTGATGTCATGTTATCAGTATATTACACAATTAACCCATTTTATCTGTTGAACAGTACCGTCTTTATATGTGAATGTTACCGGTAAACATAAATGTGGAATAAAAAAAAACCTTCTTTAGCTCATCTCTCTGTTTGATATTTTGAATTGTGGATTGTGACTAAGGACTGTACACTTCAAGTCTGTATTTACAATTATAAACCAAGGTTGTCTTAACTCGGGCATCTGGATCCCTGCCTTAAAGGCCCCTAGGGTTGGCAAGACAGCTATTGTGTGTGGCAGGGTGTTCCACAGGCCGATGGCCGTATTGTGTGTGGCAGGGTGTTCCACAGGTGGATGGCTGTATTGTGTTTGGCAGGGTGTTCCATTAAATATACAGTACTTAAATGTGGACATTTAACAGGCGGATGGCTTTATTGTGTGTGGCAGGGTATAATAATTTGGCTGTGTATATAAATGTGTGTGGCAGGTATTACCAGTAAACGGATCTCTGTATTGTGTGTGGCAGGCTGTTTGGGCTGGCTGGGGCTGTATTGTGTGTGGCAGAACTGTTCCATAAAAACGGGCAGATGGCCTTATTAAAATGTAATGGCAATTTTAAACACTCTCTGGGTATTGTGTGTGGCACTTTATCTATTTTGCAGATATAATGAAAATATATGTGTGTGGCAGAAATACTTCTTTTTCAACCTATAAGGTCATATATGTATGAGGCATTATCTTTGTGTAGTTTTTTTCACATAAGATGTAGAGTTATCTTTCCTTGTTTGTGTGTGGCAGGTCCACAGAGCGGATGGCCGTATTGTGTGTGGCCTGGGTGTTCCACAGATTGCCTCCTTGTGTGTAGCACAGACAGCTGTTCCCCACAATGCCGTATTGTGTATGGCAGGGTGTAATTAAACAATTGCTGTATTGTGTGTGGCAGTGTGTTCCACAGGCGGATGGCCGTATTGTGTGTGGCAGGGTGTTCCACAGGCGGATGGCCGTATTGTGTGTGGCAGGGTGTTCCACAGGCGGATGGACGAAGAGAAGATGAGTCTTGATCCGGTAGTGCTGCACACGAGGAATCTAGACCTCGATAAATGTACAGTATTACGGTAAATTAAGACATTTAACTAGTTTACTCAGATTGTTGATTTCTGTTGTTGTTCTGTATAATAATTTGGCTGTGTATATAAATGTATTAAACATGTATTACCAGTAAACTAAGTACTCTCTTTTCTGTTTTGCAGGCTGTTTGGGCTGGCTGGGGCCATGCTTCAGAGAATCCCAGTTACCAGAATTACTCCATAAAAATGGAATCATATTTATTGGTAATTTCAAACAATTTTAAGACACACTCTAAGGTATCAATGTCTGTAGACACTCTATCTATTTTGCAGAAATAATTTTGAAATATATTTTGTAAAGAAATACTTCTTTTTATTAACCGATAAGGTCATATCTGTATGAGGCATTATCTTGGTGTAGCTTGTTTCACGTAAGAGTTATCTGCTCTTGTTTATGAACAGGTCCACCAGAGGGAGCTATGAGACAAGATTGCCTCCTCTATTGTAGCCAATAATGCTGCTTAATATGAAAACAATTTCCATGGAGTGGATCAGGTAATTTATCAAATTTATCAGTGTACACTAATGATTCTATTAAAAATAAATATTTAATGAAAAAAAACAACATTTTTTTAAAGACAGTATAAAAAACATGTGTCATTCACAAACCATGAATAATTGAAGCAACAGCATGTTTATATTCATTTCTTCAATCACAAAAATCTCAAAAACTAAAATGTTAATTTGTTCCCCCAGGCCATACAAATAAACATTACAGCACATTTTCATTCCAGGTTTGATCCTGAACTACTCCAAGAGTGACAATAAGCCAGTGAACGTGCCCCAGGACCTCTAAAGGAAGGGGTGTGTCACCAGGGTATACGAGTTTCTGAAATCGGCCAATATAATTGGGTTTCCTGTGATGAACAAAGCCTCCAAGGGAGGTACATGTATAGCATCAGGAATTTTAAAAGAATGCTGATTCCATACCTGTAAAATCTTTTCAGACAGGTAGGGAATAGAAAGAGTTATTTTGTATTTATTGTGTTAGGGTATAAAGAATGGCAAGAAGACTTAAGCAAGTGAAGAATAAAGAGAGAAACCTTACTATAGAAATGATGTGAGATGCAGAGTTTATTCCAAAAAAATGGTGAAATTATGTTTTAAGTGAGAGGTAGTTTTAGCAGTTTTATAATGTAAAGAGAGATAGTGATAACAACTAGAAAGGATTATGAATTGTTAGCCAATGAATATTCAATATTAGCCACCTCAGATCCCTTGTTTTGAACATATTTTATTGATATCAATCAAAAGGATTGGAAACAATCCCTTGTTGATAATGCCAAGAAATCAGTGTTAAATCTGCTTAATATAAAGAAATACACTCATTTTGCTTTTGAACAGAATTTTTACGATATTGAGTTTCAATTCTAAGCTTTTATCAACAAGTTCTCTAATTTTGATGGATCTAAAAGAAAAGAGAAATCCTGTGTTCTATATATAGGTGCAGGCTGAGGTACCGGGATCCCCCATCTTCATCATGAAGCTGGCCACCCACGCCCGTCACCTGGAGGTCCAGATCCTGGCAGATAACTACGGTAACGCCATCTCCCTGTTTGGGAGGGAATGCTCCATCCAGAGGAGACATCAGAAGATCATTGAGGAGGCCCCCGCCTATATAGCCAAACCTGAGGTGTTCGAAAAGATGGAACAGGTAGGTAGAACTTGAGGGTAATGACAAAAACAATCTGTTTATCAACTTACTCTTAATAGTACTTTATAATACTGAAGTAAAATACAGTCTAACTTCATTGCTTTGAATGTCAATATTTGAAATATCAGTATCTGAAAGTGATTTTAAAGTCTCTAACCACTTCTTCTTTAAATATGTCATCCTTGTATCGCAAATCCCTATGTACTTTTACTTGTTATCTCAATCCAAATGAGTGTGAGATATCAATATAATGAGTGTATTATATTTTCTCTTTAGGCCGCGGTGACGTTGGCTAAGATGGTGCGGTATGTCAGTGCCGGTACAGTGGAGTATCTGTATAACGAGGAGACAGAAACGTTCCACTTCCTGGAGCTCAATCCACGTCTACAGGTGGAACATCCGTGTACAGAGATGGTGGCAGACATCAACCTACCGGCCGCACAGTTACAGGTAAAGGAAAACGATGACAGATTGCCATCGCTGTTTTTTGAATTCAGAAATTTTTGTTTTTTTGTAGTTGTAGTAGATGCATATTAGGATGAAATAGATATTCTCTTGGAAAATAAATTTCCATGTGTGGAATAATATTTTTTTGAGTCAAATTGTGTCTCAAAAAAATACAACATACAGCTGCTTGTTTGCTACCTTTAATTTTTGGCAAATGCAGGTCATAAGAAACAAATACTTAAGTGAACATATTGAGTTACATATTGGAATAATTTTATCTGAGCTGATAAAATAAGACTGAAAATGTTATTTAGCTTTTTATTGCAAGATAGCGACAACACAGTCGATCAAAATTACTCAATCGGGAAAATGAGCTTTCACTTACGCTGCTTATCTCCCTTAGACCATAGGCCAGTGGCTGTTCAAAGCTTTGCAATGTTTACAAATTGTCATATATGTCATTTTGCAGTGTAATTTTAAGAAATATCATAATCATGACTGAAACCTTGTATAATCATACGATATTCAAACTGGGTGGTATATTTTTTTTTATTAATTTCATAGCATATTTGCAAGGTTTTTAACATGTTTTATCAGTCAGTGATTATTCTCATCATTTGATACTTCGATCGATTGAGAGAAAGGATAAAAGCAATCAAAAGAGAGAAAGATTGGAGAGTGTGAATTAATTCACGTACTTTTATATACAGGGCATTTATTTACAACTTACATTGTTTTTATTATCAAGAGTCCAACATGGTCAAGGATTCAATTTTCCGTCACAATATTGACCTAGTGAATGCGCCACACACCGTGCATCCGTTTTTTTTTTCGCGGTGATCTATTTTTCACAATTTTTGCGATCATTTTTAATTCGCAAAATATAAAACATGCAGAAATTGTGTCAGCTATAATGTGACATAAAAACATTTAAAAGCATTTTAAACAAAAAATCTTCAATCTAAAAAAAATAACATATGCAAAATATAAACTGTACTAATCTACCCTTTTTTCGCAAAATTTCCAACACTAAAAAAAAACACACACCGATATACGGTATATGATAGGTAGGGCCTATATGTTAAAAAAAAATGTGAAGTCAATCAGGAAATATTTTTATCGTGTTAATAATTTAATAAAGTAATTATTAATAAATTCTTAATATTTGACAGCATTTATTTATATTCACATATTCATGTACAACACTACTACACCTCCCGTCTGTCTCTCTGCTCTAATGAATTATGACAAGAACTAAACAACATAAACTTGTATATTATGCGAGTTAGTACAAACTTTTAAAACCAAAAAAATGTCGTAGCGTACGAAGAAAAAAAATAAAGAAATAAATCATGGCTTCATTAAGTGAAAATACATCTTATTATTACCGATAAAAGCCTAATTATTATCATAGGATATTCATCAGGGTCATCTTCGGAGGAAAAGCCCAGTTTTCAGTTGCCTTGATTTATTACCGAATTGTTCAAACTGAAATGAATAAACTACAAAATCATATAACTCATCTGATCACAGACATGCGTTTATAATAAAAAAATAAAATATAATTATCTTGATAAAATAGTGTAGATTTACATTATGTCCAATGATCCATTTAAATCAGTGGGCCTTTGTGACATCACAAGACCACAGAATCAAGAACGACAAGCGGGTAAGAAAAGTAACAGGTGGAATACTTTTTATCTTTATTTTAATTGGTCAGTAGAACAAAGGCCAGAAAGTTTCGGGGGTATATAGTTTTTGTCATGTCTGTCTTTCTGTCTGTCTGTCTCTCTGTCTGTTTGTCCGCAAAAACTTTAACCTTGTCCATAACTTTTGATTTAGTAGAGCTGTGACTTTCATATTTCACAAGTGTATTCCTTGTGACAAAAAGTTTAATGTTAGGAATCTTCAACCTTTAATGTACACTATATATAAGATTGCTCCCAAATTATATACATCAACATATAAACTGAATAAAACCCAGTAGCAAATTTTTTTTTTCTATTTGTAAAAATAAAAAATATCATTACTTTACTTTAAATTTTCTATTTGTTATAATAGTATAATAGCAACTAGATTATTTTCAAACTATAGTGTCTTAAGTTTTAAACTAATGAGTTATTTTGTAACTCAAAACAATTCATTTCCAGTATATCACTGATACACAAGATTCAAAATGTCTATTTTAATATTTAACAATTAAAAATATTATAACTATGCAATGACATGTAAACACACAGAATGGTTGTATAAAAGAATACATATACTTAACTGCAATGTTATTTTTCACTTTAGATACTTGTACACTGTCAGTGTGTTGGTGGTAAATTGTCCCACATAGAGATTATTCTCATCATCCACACACACACTACGGGGATAATCTACCCCTTTTTGTTGTGTGAGTAATAGAGACAAGAACTGACCGTCCTGATCAAGGAGGTGAACAGTGTTACTTAAATTGTATCCATCACACACCAGGATGTGACCGAGGACATCAGTACAGATTCCATAGGGACGGAACACTGATTTCTGACCTGTGTAAGAGAACCTGTGTTGTCCTGATTTATTGACTACCACTACTCCTTTATCATAGTCTGATGTACAGATATCTCCATTGATGTTTTCTGTGATGTAGTGTGGATATCTATACAGTCCCTGTCCTTTGTTATGCCTCTGTATGTTCTGTAGTTCTTTTCCTGTCTTGTTGTACCTGGTGACTTTAGCCTCTCTATTTGTCACCATCCCCACCAGTAAGTCCCCGGTGATGTGGGAGGAGTGTATGCAAAGTGGTGTCCAGTCTCCAGTTTTAATGAATTCAGTGATTTTATTATCCTGTGTTATCCTTTTGATGACTTTCTTGTCTTTGTCTGTAAAGATCAGATCCCTGTCCTGTGTGACTGTGTGGTAACCATATCCACCATTGGTTTTTATCTTCTGTATCGCATTCCCCTGTAGATCTGTTTGGACAAGATTACCATACTTGTCACTGATCCAGAGTCTGTCTGATTGATCTAGTGTTACATGGAATACAGTATCAACACCTGGTACTTTGAACTCCCTGACCTTGGTGACAGAGGCAGATAGAGACAATGTTTGTTTCTTGTCAGATTTCTTTCTGTCTTCTTTCATCTGTTTATGTGTAGGTTTCATTGCTGTATTGTAGACACTTTCAATGGGCCTTATTTCTCTCTTCTCTGCTTTAGTGTTGGGGACATGTATTTTACCAAGTAATTTGGTGACATCACTTTTGTTGCATTGACCAGCAGTAAATCCCGGTGTGACTGGTTTTGTTGTCTCCGGTATGGATCGGATCTTTGGTTTTTTCTCAGACATTAATTTCTGGGTTTCTGTAGAGGACATGCATCTGTGGAGCTCTTTGACAAGGTTATTAAGATAAGTGATATAGTCATCAAATGTTTTGTCTTGGGTGTTTAGATCTTCTAACAGTGAATGTTCTATCTGGTCTAACTGCTTGATGTTTTCAGATACGACTGTGTCCACCAGACTTTTCAGGGACTCACCTTCAGTCTTCATTGATGTTCTGATGTTGTCCATAAGGTGTTTGATTTCTGAGGAATCTTTTTTTATCTCTTTCTGTAAATCTTGTGATGTAGGGAGCAAATACTCGTGAATTTTGGAGATTTCCTGATGGAAGAGTGTAAATTTTTCTGCGTAGACTGCTTCAAGATCAACAAATGTATGTTTTGGGTGGTCTCCTTTTGTAGCACATTTAGAACATAACGAAACCTGGCATTCTTCACAGAACATGTCCTCATCTTTAGTGGGGTGGATCTTGCATTTCTCCACAGGAAGTTGTCGCTTACGTTGCTGGTAAAGGACCACCTCATGGTTCTTGTTTTCTGGACGTTTCAGATGTTCATCTCTGCATTGTTTGCACAATCTTTGATGACAAAGGTTGCAGTAGAATTCACAGTTTCTTTCACAGTCTTCAATGCCGCATTCTAAAAAGTGCTGGGCTGTGCGGGGAATGTCCATTTTAGATAATGCCATCTGAAAAAACAGGAATTATATAGATGTTTTAGTTTGATACATAATAATGTTCTAATCTGTATTTGTTTTAGAATTAGGGAAAAACAGATATCACTTATTTGTAAACATGTCAACTGTGATATAATTATTCATACAATTTGCTATTCTAGAACACCAATAAATTTTTTCTTGGTTTTTATTCCATCATTCATATAAAAGTTGATTTAAATTAAATTAAATGACCTTAATTGTACATGTACTTACAGCCTTTATGAATGACCTACAGATGACTTTGTAGACAGCTAGGATTGTCAAATGAGATTTCAGTTGAGACTTGAATGAGATCTGTAATTTACTTCCTGGTTAAAATGTAGACTGGCATTGCCTGTCTTTACCGTGTATATTGGATATCAGACAGGCAAGCCAGTCTAGTTAAAATGGAGATAAATATAGATTTAAATACCCATACCTGAGGCCTGTTCAACAGAGCGAACGTTTACCAGCGCTCGCAAACATTCTTTACACCTCCATTAAAAAACTTCCATGACATCACCCATTGTTAATATAAGTCTATGTATATATTTAATGAATGTTTTTAAATTTAGTGTGAATTATTGGTGTGTGAAAAATCACACAGACTTGTCACTTAGGCATATTTCATGAAGCGTGCTAACGCTTCATGGAAAATATGCCTTATATTTACATTTTCAGTGTCTAAAAGCACCAAAACTATATTGCTGCAATATATACCGGTATATATCCAACTGACAAAAACTATATTTAGGAATTTGCAGTATATTGTTGTTACTCATGTCTGTCCATCCGCCCGTCTAGCTGTCTATCCATCCGTCTGTCACACCTTTCTTCCCTGAACTCCTCTTACATTTTACACAGCAGCCTAATCATCTTTTTGGAGATATTTGTGTTGTCATGTAGATGTGCAGTAAGGTTTTGGAATATTCATTTGAAATGGAACTTTGGCAATTTTTATCCAGACACTTATTGGTGAAAAAGAAAATATTATTTGCAATTGAGGAATAAATAAAGTTGCATAATACAGTATTTTTTGTGTTGCATATTTTGTGTATTACAGATTGCTATGGGTCTGCACCTGTACCGGTTGAAGGACATCAGACAGCTGTATGAAGTGGATACCTGGGGGGACAGTCCTATTGACTTTTCTAACCCCTCCATACACCCCCGACCCCGGGGCCATGTCATAGCAGCCAGGATCACCAGCGAAAACCCAGACGAAGTAAGAGTCTATAAAAACATAAAAATTTACTGCTGTGAAGTACGAATTAAAAACTCAATCAACGTACAGTGAAACTGGGTTATATTGGACGAAGTCACTGGGACCTATGAAATTACTTTGCTATATCCGTAATTTGTTATATCCGTATAGGAAATTTGTTAAATTTATATAGTGGGGATCCAAGATAACTTCATTATATCCATGAATGTTCGTACTAACCAAGTTTTTCTGTAACAGAAAATAGAGTTTAAAAAAATTTCCTTTCTTTATGCTATTTAAAAAGACGTCGCGCACAAAATTGGGGCTGATTTTGTAACGTCAAAATATACTATTTTGACGTTATTGCACATGTCGTTTAAGCATAAAAACGTCAAAAATTTAAGGCGTAACAAATTCGACTAGACATTTAATTTTTGCTCCCGTTTTCTTAAAAATGTCTCACTTTTTAGTGTTTCTTTCAATACAAAATTTTATTTATTTGCACATTTTAAAAATAATATTTTATCTGTTAAAAGTTTTCCCAGTAAATAGAGAATACATCTTATATTGGTGCTATACGCCCAGTTAAAGACTATCATACGCATATTTACGCCGTAGTAACAAAACCGACTAGACATTGAAATCGCTCTATTAATCTCTCTTACTACTAGATTATATATTTTTAAAGAAAAATTTGACTACTTCTTAATATGCACATTTCATTTATCAACTTAGTTTCACAAAAAGAATATATTTTTAAGCAAAATATCTTTACCAAACATTCCATCTGTTATTGTTACTTGTCAAGATCACAGCGTATTACGGAATGCTTTCAATTTTACAAACAGTCAAAATCGGTCAATAATTGGAAAATTATGAATGAGTATTATGTGACATCATCACAGGAAATTATAGAAGCATCGTACAAATCACAGGTGCTTGAGGACAGGACCCCCCCCCTTATTATAGACCCCCGGGCCTGTTAGACTTTTTTCACATAAATTATATATGGATGACACTTTTGTGATATAATCTATTCTATCAATTCAGAAAATTTGCTTAAACTTACATTTTATATAAATTTCTACCCTCTCTATATATAGTTGATTTTTATATAGAGAATGTAGGGTAGATTTAATAGAACGTTTGTTTTAGGTAATTTTTCGATTTGCTGGTATATATCATATCACAAATATGGCAATGAAAGATTTTTTATGAGAAAAAAAAAGAAAAAGCCCAGGGGTCCATATCGAAGGGGGGCGGGGGGGGGGGGGTCCTGTCCTCAAGCACCTGTGGTACAAATTGGCAGAGAAATCCATGTAGCCAAAACGATAAAATGACCAAAAGTACTAACGCCCGTCTTTTACAGTGTTACAATTTACGCAATTTCAAACCCCAATACAATGCGCGACGTCTTAGCATATTGGTTTGCTGGGATAAATGTTCCTGGAATCCCCTATCATGATGGTGATAACTTTCATTATTATACTTTCATGTTAAATACTAAAATCTGATTGGTTTAGACGCAGTTAACAAATCTGTTCTATTATCCCCAGCCTTAGCAACACACGTGACAACGGGTAACACAACGGTAATGCCACATACGTGGAAATTATGCGCATACGGTTCACCGTAAAACTCTCAAAACGTCAGTTGCGCGTTTGAAAGAACTGGAATAAACTTGATGTCAATGAAAGCTTTCGTCCGATGTAGGTTACTTGAAAACAACAAACGAAAGACGAAACATGCTTGAGAGTGCAGAAATAACGAA